AACATCCCATGCACATACGCTAACTGCCGTAACACTCACGGCAGGGGACTAAGACGACTAGCAAAAATGAATGGCATTTCATCACAGCTTCGTACCAGGTGACAACGCCATGTTGTAGTTTCGTATCGACCAGGAAAATCCACGCCGCATTGTGCGTAATATTTAAGAGCCCATCCTTTCTCTTATTAAGACCTAAAAACATCAACATCCAGATTGAATTCTGCTATGGTTCACTATACCCAGGATTGATTCAGCCAACAAAAATGCCAATCATTACTGATCAGGGGAAGAAATTGCTGGGCGTCCAAGTGGTCTGCCTCGCTATTGTTTGGTTGCTCATTACACCTCTAAGAGTGTTGTCCAGGGTGTTGACTAAGAAAAGATCAAACCAGACCTGGAAACAAATGCCTTGGATGGAAGACGCGTCGATGTTTGTGGCCTTGGTAAGCCAGACGGGTTGATGCTATTCACTGTGCAAGTTGTTGAGTTGACGGTTAGACAGTTGCTCTACACGTTGATGGCTGGCTTCGCTTTGGAGGGAATCATTGATGGTGGAATCGGCAAACACACATCCGACATCCCCTTGGAAGAGGCGTCCATAGCCTTTCGGGCATGGTTCATCTGTGAACTGATATACGGTCCGCTTAGTGCCGTCGTCAGAACGTCAATTGCACTTCTGCTTCTCCGTCTGAATCCGTCTAGGATCCAAAAACGAATTTTATACGTCTGCATGGCTATTGTATATGCGTTCACCGTTGTGTACTTCCTCATCAACTTGCTGCAGTGCAGCCCGCCATCGTACTTTTGGGAGCAATTCCGCAACTTCGACATGGCAGGAAGATGCGACAATCCACATCTACTCCCGAACGCAGCAATTGCACATAGTGTCATAGCCGCCACCAGTGATTTGGTCATCTCAATCCTGTCCACCTACACAATAGCAAGAAGCTTCATCAATTCTCCGACGGACACGACATTGGAAGAAAAACGGCGACAAGGAAGGGTGCAGACGGCGATGGTGGTGCTACGACGCAACAAGACAAAAGTAGTCATCATGATTTTCTTAGGCCTCGGAGGCACGTGAGTCTTTGATTCCGAATTGATGATCTGTTGATAGTGTTGAGTGCTTACAACCCCAAGTGCTGGCGCAATAATGCTGGCTCGCACCCGCTACATCAAAATTCTTGAGATCACACCGGACTTTCTGTATAGAACTGTGTAAGTTTCGTCTCTATCAGCCGTACCGGCTTGGCGTCGGATGTCATCGCTATAACAAGTCGCAAACAGGCTGACAGGCTAAAGTGATGTTGCGGTGTGGTCTATCATAGAGCCATGCGTGGGAATAGTGGCAGGAAGTTTGCCGTACATCAGGCCACTGTTCCAGCATCGTTCAACATTGAAAGACAGCTCGAATTCCATCACGTTAGTCAGCGACGCGTCGCCAGCTACTGGAGTACGAATTCACCAGGACTATGCTGTGGAGTATAGGTCGGCCACGCCGCAAGACCATCTAGGTACTACAACAACGTGCAAAAAGTGGCTTCATGCGCCTACGGGTAATATCGTACCCGTGCCGCGCCCCATTTTATTTGCAACTCGCAAGCTCGCATCATACAAAGATGGTGCTGGACACCAAAATAGCCAGGATACCGAAACAGTCACTTTTTCGACCCGTCTGATTTCAACGGCCTATACGTCAACCACTTGGTCCTCGTTTGACTAGTTAGTATGGAGGCACTCATCCAAGAGGCTCTTCAATACATTGATGACTTTCCCGGTGCGAAGGTGGCTAAAGTGGCTCGAGAATTCGGTGCACTGCGCACAATCGATTGCGATACCGCCTCCAGGGCCGGCCCCCAAAAGTAGGTCAACCAGCCTCAAACCTGAAGCTTTCGCAGCCAGAAGAGGCGGCATTGTGTCGCTACATCGACCATATTAACCTTACCGTACGCTCCGAGCTCATGACTAATGCAGTAAACCACATCCCGCGTGAACGTACCGGTTACGCCGCTGTCGTAGTCGGCACCAAGCGTCCGCTCTCGTTTTCTGAAGCACCACGGCCATTTCAAGAAACTTCAAAAAAAGCTCCATTCTGAGCGCCAAGCTTCTGAGGATCTCGGGCGGGTCAATCAGTACTATCAGAGTCCCCGGAAGGTCATACATACAAGACTATGGCATACCTCCTAATAGTATATGGAACATGGACGAGACCGGATTTCGAACCGGAGAAGGCAAGGATAAATTGGTCATCACTAGACGAAACGGAGCTCATTATTTTGGCATTCCCGAGAATAGGAAATCCGCTGCTGCCACTGAGGCTATCTCTGCAAGTGGGCACTTCGTTCTGGCCTTCTTAATTCTGTCAGAGCAAATGCACATGGCTTCATTGTATGAGATATCGGAGCTAGATGCTGACACAGCCATCCAACCTACCCCTACGGGCTACTCGAATAACGAAAGTAGTCTGGAGTGGCTTCAACTTTTTGACAAACATTCAGCAGACCTCAAAAGTTCGAGGCGTCTCCTGATTCTTGATGGCCACGGCTCACACCACACGAGGCAGTTCACCGAGTATTGCGATGAACACGACATCATTCCCTTTGGCATGCCTCCGAATCTCACGCACGTACTCTAACCTCTGGATGTTGTCTTTTTTCAACCATTGAAGCACTACTACGCCAAAGCGCTGGATGCTATGGTCCGAGACGGCCTTGTCAATATAACCAAGTGCTAGATTCTCAGGCGGCCTTGTCAAGACATGTATAACCAAGTGCTAGATTCTCAGTGGTTGCAAAACATGAATGCAGGCCAACCTCCTGAGTAAATTCAGGTGGTTGGGAAGTAAAGATAAAAGACCTGAACTATGCACGTTAGATAATGGAATACGACAGGCAAGAATACATCAAAATATTTTTATCTCCATAATAGTGCCACCGCATTTCTGGCAAATGTTGAAGACGAAACAGCATACATGCAGGGTCCAGCCTCCACCTTCCATAAATAGACTACCTTGGCAGCATCTCTAGGTTACAGAATCAACGCACTCTTTTCATCTGTGTCCCGCTGTGACGTTTAACAGAGTGCGCAGGCGGTGGTTTGAAGAGGCAGCAAAAGAGGCTCGTAAATAAAGGGCTTCCGGGAGCCTGGGGAGAGTACAAGTATGCGATTCCGAGTGTAACCGATGGTGGCTCGGCTTGCGCTATGGGAGCCTGGGGAGAGTGGAAGTATGCGATTCCGAGTGTAACGGGCTGAGCCCGATGGTGGCTCGGCTTGCGCTATCGCCAGTAAGCGAGATTAGCACAGGAGCTCAAGAACTCCTCGAACTCCCCTTTTCTTTCTTTCTTTCCTTCCTCACCTTGCTCCCCTTTTCTTTCTTTCCTTCCTCACCTTTGGATACTCGTAGTACTCGTCTAGCTAGTTGTCAGTACACTCAGCTTGAACCGTTACACCGAGCACGGTAGACGATGGTTGAAGCGATTTTTAATTTAGATGTTCCGAAACGTGGCTATTGCGGTGTCTAGCGCCATCTTTGCATGGTGCGAGCTTGCGAATTTCAAATAAAGTGTGGCGTGGCACGGGTATTTACATCATCGGACGCTGTCTAATCTGACTGTGATGATTCGGAGCAGTAAAGCTCTTGGCGAACCATGTGCCGTAATGTAAGTTGCTGCGGGGCCTTGCCATCCTCAGCAGACATGTGCGACTCATAAAAATTGCTGAGTTCTTCAGGCGTTGAGGGCTTGATTTTGACGACCTGGAGAAGATTCGCGACGGTAGCTGCAAGATCAGATGCTGCGGTGTTCAAATACTCGGGAAATGACCTCTTTGCAGCAAACTCTCCACACTCAAAAATAAGCCTTTTGCATGTTGTACGGATATGCCTTCTCAATATTTTCTCGGCATTGGTTTGGTCATGCTTGTTCAAATCGGTCACAATGTGGTTGATGGCGTCCACGACTTCCGCGGCCGAATCAAGCACGTGCGCGTCGGCCGCTCTGTTATGTACGACCCAGACCAGCCAGTCAATAGAGATGCAGAATTCTACGTAGGAGATGTCCCGGACTTTGCCATCGGCTCGCATGGTCTCCTTTCCCCAGGACCCCTGAGCGACGTCATGTTCCATCTTCTCGTCTTCAGGTTGTTTCTTTTTGTGCTGCTTCTCACAGCTCGTTTTCAAGTACATAACTTTACTCTCCAGGTACTGCACTTTCTCTTCCAGCTTGTCGATCATCGCAGCACTTGATTCGCAAAGGGCCTTCATGTCATCGAGGAGCTGCTGTCGCCAAATGGTTGATGGCGTCGTCTTGTTTTTGTGTATCCAGGAGGACATGGCGTATGAAGGTTCAGAGGTGGATCTTGATGAAATGGCCATCTCAGGCCTGATGATGGAGTGCTGCAGTGACTAATATACGTAAACGCTCTATTTTTGTGGCGGAAATAATCGCTGCCATATTAAGGGTTATAACGTGAAGTCAATGTGACAAAGACGCTGTTCCGAAAAAGAGGATATCTATTGAGGCTCGATACACGTTGTCACGTAATGAGACTCATTTTTAACTAAGTTTCTTCACAAAATTATGTATTCTTGTCTCGGGTGGAGATCTGAATAGAACCCGTACGCGGGGGAGTTGGTGGCCATGGCGTATGCTCTGAGAAACCTGCCCGATATCAGCCACCGCCGTGGAGCACTCTTAACGACCAACAAGGCGGTTGCCCTTAGTCTTTTTCAACCCCCAACAGCACTCCGGCCAGGAATACATCCGTTGCATCTATGACAGTATCAACAAATTTTGGAGGGGCGGAAACGGTATATTGGTGTTCTGGATACCCAACACTGAGAAGAACGAGCTCCTACGATCAGCCAAGCGAGAAGCGAGGCAAGCGACCAAAGAAAGCGCTACCCCTCAAAAACAGTTCCCTAGAATGAAATCTACAACATTGAACCTTGAAAAGAAGAGACTAACCGCTGAAAAGAGTTTACCAGATGATGTGGGCAAACACTCAAAACGAGTGGACGCGGCCCTCCCAGCTAAACATACTCAGGAGCTACATGATAAATCGGCCCTGGATTGAACGCAACGTGTTGTCCCAGTTAAGGACGGACATTACAAGACTACGGAGCTCAATATATCGAATAAAAGCAACGTCATCCAGCCTATGTGCCTAGGGACGTGAACAAGAGACCGTAGCGCACTTCCTATTCCGGTGCACAAGGCGGGACACATGCAGAAGGGAGATGCTTCAATGCACCGAAACTCAACAGGAAGCCTTTCGTTCTATTTTGGAGGAAAATCACCTCTAGACGGACCAGATTGGAAGCCAAATCTAAAGGCAGTGCAAGCAACGATTCGCTTTGCATTGGCCACTGGACGTCTTGAAAACAAGCGACATACACAAACTACTACACTCACTCACTACTAACTCACCCCAAACTCACCACTAACCCACCATTGACACCAATCAACACCTCGTGTCAAACATAGCAGACGCCGCTTCAGCTGGCATAGATAGGATCCTGAACACTAGGGGAATAGGCTCCAATCTAGTCCGCTCTGAAAAAACATAAAACACGAGGAATCGTAGCAAAGAAAGAGAATATGCGGACAAGAGCAGAAATTGGACGACCAAGACGTATGGGCTTCGATAAGGTAAAGGCAAAAGTTTCGGATTGTGCATGTACTAGAGGTTTATAGTTGCCCCATTGGGATTTTCCCACCGGGCGTAATGAATGAATGAATGAATGAATGAACACCATGCATAAGCTTTTCATCCGAACTATTTAATTGATACAGGGGAGTTCAGGTTCAGCATCCTCCAATGGACTAAAAATTATTCGACAACTCGGCAATTCCTAGCTCCCTGTGAGAGATACTTTCAAATACCAAGACTGCACTAGATTATATGTTCCGTCAAATATTAATTAATGGACTCTAAGATCTGGAGATCAGAATGTGCAGAATAAATTCAAATTTGTTTGGGGTTCCATGGTCTAGTACAAAGAATCTTATCCAGACACTTAATGTAAATAGACAGTGGACGATAAATGTTATTGATATTAACATGTGTAAACGTCAGATTGGATTTATTCATTAATATTTTATTTAAAAACGTGCAACTATGTTGCATAGATTCACGCCATCTTAAATGATGTCACAATCAACATCTCTGTACCGAACGACCAAGACAAGAAACGCTCGATCTCAAGATCAGCTTCGATCTAGTTTATTAGTTCACAAACAGTCCATTTTAAAGAGAGCTGAAGAAGTATTACATCATCAAACATATGGAGTTCCACTGCCCAAGACCCCCATAGATATTCTAACTCCTATTGTATCTGCATTGACTGGATCGAGTACTGTTATTAATGCAGAAACAAGACCTCTATATACTATAGGTATATGGAGAGAGAATATTAACACTATATATCGATTTTGTTTTATACAGCCTGAGATATCTTCAATGACTTGTTCAATTTCTGCAGCATGGAAACCTACGGCAGAAACAGCATTAAATGATATTAGCCACATCTATCCTAATGCTATACCATGTACTCTCTCTGCTAAGAACAAGCTTCCGCAGTTTTCCGGACGGATGACATCTGTTGCTTGTACCAGCAAAGCCAGCATGGATGCTGTCTTCTGACTGGCTAGCCCCTGACTGAGGCCCACTTATCTAGAAGCTATCACCACCACCAGCGGTGGCGGCGATAGCTCAACACAAGCAAGAACAACATCATGATCACCAGCGCGTAGCCGTTTGTGCCTGTGATAATTATCACCCGAATAGAAGCCTTGCGCTTCCAACAACATCATATGTTGTTGATATTCTTCCATTTTCTGTTTCATGGGGATTCGCTAATATTTCTGGATCTTATTTTTTGTTCTTACGAACTGATGATACCATTGGTCAAGTTGTGTTGACTCTGTCCAACATAATGTGCGTCTTTAATTGACACTGTGTATTTTCTTTGCATGTGTTGCAGCTGGAAGGGTAATTAGCGTATAGCTTGAGCGCACTCGGCATGGACCGCATAGCCAAATTTGGAAAACTTCGGTGATAACTTTGTGGTCGCTGTATAAACCAGGACTCTGCTGTACCAGCAGAATTATATCGTCTCTCGCTCCAAATGTACCCCGCTCCCAAATATACTTAAACTTTGCTATATGCATGTATTATTGTTCACACATCCAAATCATTTCTCTAGAGCTACCTAATTTAGCACATCATTTAATTTGGAGAAGCTCATAGAGTAAATATTGGTGCGACTATATAGCGAGGTCGGCATCATTTAATTTGGAAAGCTCATAGAGTACTGGTGCGACTATATAGCGAGGTCGCGACGATGTCGTGTCAAAACGAATGCCTATGGCTTCTAAAAGTCACAGACCTCAATGGGACCGATGGCTCAAGTTGTACGACAAAGTAAACTCGAGGAGTCCCTTGGAACTTCTCCTCCGCCGTCTGGAGGGCGACGATCTCAAAAACTTCGTTGGAAAAATTATCAACGCCCTTCATAGGGCCTCTAAGAAGAAAAGTTCGTGTACTGACGATAACGACGCGCGCGCGTTGACATTTAAAAGTGGAACGGAGAAGAAGAGATGGAGTGAACTGTACAAGCATGTTGGCGCCAAAGAGCACTTGGAGGCCATTCCTGACGAAGAGCGCAAGGGGGACGCTCAGAAGCCGGTTCATAATCTTACCTCGGCATTTCAGAAAATGGTAAATGAGATGATGCTTTCCGTCATGAAGGGTACTTGGGAGCTATTACAGAATGCATACCCAACTGAAGACGGAGTCAAGGCGGATATTGACCTACTAGTATTGGGCAAGTACCTTGGGGCTCTGCAACATGAGTCTTGGCAGCCAACTGCGGCTCAAGTGAGAGAAAATTACGGCTTGGCCTCAGCTCTCTCCGACAGCGGGCTCGCATTCTTGTTACAGTTTTATGCCGCCAGTCTAGGTGAGAGCCTTGACAGCCGCTGTTTAGAGAGTAGGGAAACCATGCTCACTGCATATGAACCTTTGATACAACCATACGTGCAGAAAATCAATCCCTGGCTGGCTCGAAATGGATTTCGAATAGAAGCTGGTTCAGAGTATCAGTTCGGGAGCGGAGCCGGTGGAAACAGACCCGCAACAGACACGGCAGAAGAAAAAGCTGGCGGCTCCAGAAAGCCGTCCATCGCCTCCCGACATCACGACGACAGCAAATCGTTAACCACTCCAGTCCCTGAGAGTCCCTTGAAGGGGTCAGTGACAAAAGCAACTACCACAGACTCCAACAACTCCGACCCCCCAGACCAGTGGAAAGAAACAAGGGACTTTGTGGAGCTTCTTAAGAAATCGTTGGCCGAGCATGGCGTACGCCACGACCAACAAAACACTCCGCCTCCCGATTGCTCGACCTTGGGACAAAATGTAGCTGTATCCTCTACTGGTGGGCCAGCGGGACCGCGACCACTTGAGGGTGATGCATCTAAATCGCAGGCTTTGTTGTCGGGCGAGAATATAAGCTGCCTAATAGGGGACCAGTTTACTGATGACGACCTCGCCAATAGAAAATGGGCGCCTAGCCAACATGACATTAACAGACTAGGAGGTGTAGTCTCAAACTTGGATGAGGACGCGCTTATAGAGGTTGTACAATTCGCCGTCACCTGCGCCGTGGAAAAGACGGATATTCTCAAAGCACTCCAGCCCCTGCTCCCAACGTTTTTGCAGTATATGCACTATGTGGCACGAAGAGCCCTATTACCGCACGGTTTCGAAGCACTGTGTAATGCGGGCGTACCTCTCCGGGAGTTAGAAGACATACTTTCACTGCAGGATACAGGTATATTGAGGACAGCCATGGAAGAGCGCTTTCACGTTAGGAATATACTTGATGCCTGCTCATTGCCAAACAGGGATGATGTTGAGAATTATTCCAGCTGGTTTTCTAATCTCAACAGCGGCCAAAAGGAAAAGGAGCTGCGAATATCTATGAGGCTGTGCAATAAACCCGACAAACCTGACAGCCGGTTTCGCAGGAACCCCGAGCTTTTGATAGCACCCACCCTGGAGCAGTATCATATACACGCCCATAAAGCGTTATTGGAGATAATGGAGAGTAGACCACAGTCCAAAGCCGAGGCTGTTAGGGGCGAAGACGGCTGCTCTCCCAAAACACGTAAAACGGCCAGCAGAAGTGTGGGTGCGGCAAATGGGAAGGAAGAATTGATTGAAATGTCTAATGCTGAAATGGACGAGGAGGTAACCGAACAGACCACGGCAGTCGACGACGAGCTCCAAAGAGGCCCCAGGCCTTCTACACGGACGGGAGCGAAGGACCCAATTAATACAATTGGTTCTGTTGACGCTGGTATGATTGAGGCTGGGTCGCCGACCAAAGCAGTGGACAAAGTGGACAACGATAAAGTTGACCCTAACCGCAAATTGACACCTGCTGAGATAAATTATTTCAAAGAACAGACTGGAATTTCCCGCTGTCACGCACGGGACATTATAAAGGTTTTAAGAACTCTAGAAGCTTCTGAGACAAATTACGATGGATGGCCAAGGGCAAGATTATTCGATGCATGGAAGTCAAGGAAAGAACTTGTAGTATAATTGCTGCAGGATTGTCGGAACCATGTGCGGCCATTGAATGAGGGAGTTGGGAAGTTTAGCGAAGTTTACACGGCACGTCGTACCATTGCCGGGATTCAGAACGAGGTTGGACAGCCAGACTAGCAGGTTGTGGCTTTAATACCATTGCCAGGGTTCAGAACGAGGTTGGGCAGCCAGACTAGCAGGTTGTGGCTCAGTCCTTTAGCCTAGCGTTGGAGCTCGCTGGCTCAGGGCGTGGTGAGGAGCTGGATGACGCCGAAGAAATGCCTGAAGTGGATATCAATAGAAATGCGCCAAGAAAGACAAGGAGGAGCATGTTCGCAGTGTTTGAAGGCTTGATTGACATGGAACCTGCGGAAGAAGTTTCAAAGATAAACCGACATTTGGCCACTTTGTGCGACGAGTCTATCCGAAAAGAAAAAGACAATACAACGAATTATTCCGCTAAGAGACTGCTCCCTGAAAGGAAAGCTAAACGTAAGCGGACAGGCATTCGGAACCTCAGGAATTGTACGGGATGTGAACTTCTCAGCAAGGTCAGACTTGTGCAAGCGCAAGGTATTGCGCTTTGAGGATATGGACAAGGGATTGTAGACAGTGAAATGTGTAATCATTTAGAAACCTTGGCACTTGGTATTAATAATAATTGAATTTACAAAGGCATGTTTTGCCGAGACGGACAACAATGAATTACACAGCGAACTCTGCACCAACTGATAAGTTGAGTTGTGTGGTCGCATACGATAGCTTTGATATTCGTCGGTGATTTTGCGCAGCACCATGTCCTAACTAAGGCTGCCGCACAGTCAAATTTTGGCTTAAAACAGGCCAGACAGGGCGTTAGCGGTGTGAAAGGCCTCTAGCGAGTTGATTCAATTAACTAGTCCCTGTGCTATTTACT